AGGAGTTTAGCAAAGTTTAGCAGAGCTAGCTATTAGGGTTTGCGAGAGAGCAAGAGAATTGTGATTTACAACGAGAGGAAAAAGTGTCTTTATATAGTCTTCGATTAGAATCTAAAAGGAAATATGAAATCTAAGATTAATGGCAAATTTTTTGAAGAAACCGACTCAACCAGAAGGTTCCCGAACCAACATTTTAAAATTAAAAACCAAACCAAATTTCCTTTTTATGTAGTGAACCGAAAACTACTATTGCTTTAATGAACCACTAGCTTCAGTGCTATGCATTGCTATTTTCCTTGCAATGACGTTCCATTTCAAACCATCCTGAACACATATTCCATAAGCCATGATCAACCAGTAGCTATAAGCTAAGGTACATAAGGAAAAGGCTAAAAAAAAGTGTTTTTTGCATTAACATGTGTAGAAATAAAATATTTGCGTACCTCCGAACGACCATTTTATCAAGGTACAGAAAGATTAGGTCCAAGTTCTCACGGGCTTCCATCGGGCTTCCATCTTTTCCACATTGTTCCTGGTAAAGAAAATGGAGAATGCATCAAACAGTAGTCACTAGTCATTGTTGTTAATACCTGAAGAAGTGAAGAACAGGAAGACAAAATGAACTCGTTCTCATTTTCACCACCAGTGACAAAGAAGTGAAGGAGTTAATGGGCAAACTTATAGATGATGATACTATTGTCCAACAGTGTGATCTCAGCTGCACATAATAACATTGAAATCAACGTAATACACATCTATAAGTAATTTGAAACAGACCGTATGTAAATACAAAATCAGGAAACCCAATATACATTCCATGAAAGATATTATGTAGGTGAATAACCTGTGTGGTCTTACCTTCTGTGCGAGCAATTGGTTTTTGAGATCTTCGAGAATACATATACTTCATAATTTGACTTGGCAGCAGTAGTTTATTACCAGTCATCCGAATAATACTTGACAGCCACACGCTTTCATTCATAGTCTAGAAGAATAATGTTCTTTACCAACGGTCATGATGGAATGAACCCTTTGGAGCTTTTTCTAATGTGAATCACCAGTAATCCCCACAAGAATAGATTCCATCCCTAAAGTGATGGAATCTTCTTGAATCTCTTATAGTGATCTCCCTCTTTACAATCTTCGATATTAGTTTTATTGCAGCGTGGCAATCCCTGCAGGCCCTCAAGTTCTTCATCACAACAATCAGATACCCTTATGGTGTACTGATAAGAGCAAATGCAACAGCTATACGTTCACTGTGAAACTTAAGCGACTCAATCCTAAACTGCTCATCTATGTCTTGTGCTATCCAACTCGTATCAGACTTGTATCCTTCTCTTTCAATCTCAGTTGTCAATTCATTGATATTTCTCATGATCTCATCTCCTCTCGGGTGTGTCTTGTCATTCACTGAGAATACGTGAATCTTGTGGTTCACTTCAACCCAGCTATAAGCCGGAACCTTCTTGATGCCGTGTTCGTGCATCGCTTTCTTCACATGACTCACACTCTTCCATTCCCCAGCCGCTGCATAGATATTGGACATGCTTACATAGGCAGCAGCATCCCTGAGCTTCTCCATACCAAAGAGATGCTTTGCTGCTTTCTCAGCAAGACCTTGATTATTGTGAATCCGACATGCGTTCCACTGACGACCACATGATTTCATCTGGCTTAAAGGGCATTTCGCCCATCAGTTTCTCTGCTTCTGCAAATCTTCCATTTCTGCCAAGCAAATCCAGCATGCACGCATAGTGTTTTCTCTTTGGGGTTATCCCATAGATCCGAGACATTGCCTAGAAATATTCAGTTCCTTGTTCAACAAATCCACAGTGACTACATGCAGTCAAGACGCCCACGACGCTGACTAAATCTTGCTGGAAACCTTAGTGAATCATATCTGTAAATGCACCAATTGCTGCTTCTCCATCTCCGTTGTGAGCGTGTGCTGAAATCAAAGCATTCCAAGAAACTGCATTTCTATCAGGCATCTCTTTGAATACTTGAACAGCATCTTTGATAGAACCAGACTTGACATACATATCAACCAGTCCAGATCCAGAAAACACATTGTCTGAGTTCCCTGATCTGATTATGAATGCGTGGAGTTGTTTCCCCAACAACAAAGACGCGAAAGTAGCGGAAGCTTTCAATACAGTAGCAAAAGTTGATTGGTCTGCTCGTAAATTTGCTCCTCGCATCTTGGTGAAAAACTTAAGCCCAGCTTCATGAAGCCCTTTCTGTACATAACCTGAGATCAATGCAGTCCATGAAACAACGCTTTGTTGTGATAACCTCTTGAATATAAACTCACGTTCCTCAAACATTTCGCACTTTGCGTACATATCTACTAAAGAATTCCCGACATGAGGGATCGAATCAGCCGTTGCAACGATTGCCTGACAGTGCACTTGTCGACCCATCTGCAAGGATGACAAGTTAGCTGCGATGCTCAACATCATGACAAGTTAGCTGCGATGACAAGTTAACCAGAACATTGCAAACAGTGAGAAAAAGGTTCCTATCAAAGCCTAACTTCACTGCAAAGGCATGAACTTGACATACCACATTCTCCGGAACCGCGTCATTGCAGCCTGGTAAAAGCGTAGCGAAGGTGACATGATCAGGAAGAGTACAAGACCTGCACATCTCACGAAAAAGCTTGAAAGCTTCATCGAACTGGTTGTTCCCGGAGTACCACCCCATCAAGATAGTCCAAGTGACAACAGTTCTATCAACAATTGCGTCAAATAGCTCCCGAGCCCTGGAAAGATCCCCAGACTTGACGTAACCGGAAATCATCGTATTGGTTGACACCATGTTCTTCTGAGGCATTTCATCGAACACTTTACGTGCAGCAAAAACTTGACCTTTCCGAAGAAGTTCCTCGACGATAAAATTGGAACGATAAGTATTTGTGTCGAACCCAGTTTTGATAATTCGAGCATCAATACGTGTTTGTAGAAATCGGAGTCGCTGTAAAGTCGCAAGAGTTGTTGAGCGGACACAATAACGTTTCATAAGCCCAATTTCGATGCTAAATCCTCCTGCCAAATACACATGATTTTGATTTGGCAGTGTACTCAATCAATCCTCTTGTAATTTTACACCATCAATCTGAAGTGATTGATAGAATGTGCGATCATAAGAAGTGATTCAAGTGTTAGCTAATGATTCTCTATTTTGTTTGGGTTTTGGGAAACGAATGAGAATTACCCCCAAAACTTTATTTCAAAAGTCTGTTCGGTTCGATTCGGTTTCGGAAAATTTTTGGTTGGTTCGGTCAAAGATCTGTTATCTAAGCTGGAAGTTTTGTTATCTCCCTTAAATGATTCTTAGAGGTGCCAAAGATTGTTTTCCTTCATTCGTACTTAGAAATCTCTGTCCCTCAATAACACTTCACAAATTTTATTGTTCGAGTTTCGACTCCCACAAATATTTTTTCAATCGAATAAAAATAGTTGATTATGTTAGATATTTCTGCAGTTGTATGTGCTATAGGGCTTGTAAAGCAACTACTAAAGTACTCTTCCAAGATATATTTTCCAAACAAAGCTTGGCCACAAATTTGTTGGTGTTATATTTTGGTGATTATTCATCATTATCACATAGACAACTTGACACATAAGTGTCACTAATGAAGTGTTAGCCATGTACAAGTGTCCCTAATGTGACACTAATCTATCTTCATGTACAAGTGACTTTGTTCATGTACTCTTTCTTCCCTGTATATATGTGAAGAAGAAGAGAGTGATCAATGAGAACATAAGAAGACACATTAATAAGAAGAAAATAATTCCATCTCTAATAAACTCTTTCTTTTGTTATCAAGAAAAACATATACATATATTGTATCAAAGAATAAGAACATATATTTATAAATATTGTATCAAAATCATATAAGCAAATATATATACCTCCATCATATATATATAGATTAATAGTATAGTTTTTGTATATTTCACAACAGTTGGAATGTCATGAGTTAAAATTTGTGCTTTTTCTGACCATTGACAACGAAGTGTTCGAGGTATCAACTGGAATAGTTCCCATGTATAGCCCTTTATCTAAAGTACAAATTTTTCTTTTTTTTTTTTGCTAAAGAAAATATCGTCATG